GGAACTTTGGCGAAACGGACGAGAAGAGGGCGGGGGGAGGGGGTTTTTGATGAGTGATCACCGATGAGCGGGCCACTTGCTGAGTGCACTGTTTCGCCGAGGCCGGGGCCAGAAGAGTAGGGCCGAAACCCCGCTCGGGTCATTGACTAGATTTGAATAACGGCCAGCCAGGGCAGCGACGCGATGCGATGCGACGGCCATGCCATGTGACGCTATTGGGACCGCTTCCACCGCCACCGCCGCTCAGTGGATCGGGTCACTCACAAAAGTCGGACACGAAATTTTCGACTAAAACTGCAAATTTTGATGTTTATTTCTAGGGTGTCTAGCATCAGGAAAAACCGGATAATATCAGGAATTTTGGCCGATCAGGAAAAAATCAGGAAAATCGAAAAAATCGGATGTTTTATCAGGAATTTTTCTTACGCGAAACTCCTCAGCGGAGAAGTCCTACTGCTTCTTGCCTACCGTGCCAGGAGTCGTCACGCCGTCTTTGATTCCGATGATTTCTCACCCGTAGCGCTTGTGTCGTATAGTGAAGGCCTCATCAAAAATCAGGAAAATATCAGGAATTTTCAAAATGACAAAATCAGGAATTTTTTACAACATTTCAGAAAAAATCTGAAAAATATCAGGATTTTTCAAAATTAACAAATACTAGACACTCTGATTTCGTCACATTTTACATTTCAAAGGGTGCTGAATGCCGATAGAAGAAAATTTCACGAGGCTACCAATGAAACTACATGTAGAACCTCATAGCTTTGTGTAAACGGAGTTATAAGCGTTTAAAGTTTCCAGAGTTTGTCCGAATCCTCCTATTGATTCGGTCCAGGGTGCGCCATCGCCATCGCGCTCCACTCGCCGTTACTGGGCTACCTCTATCCCGAGATGAAGACTTGGGTTTCATTAAGCAGCACGAAACTATCTCCAATCCGTTTTTACTTTTTTTAACTCGGCAGACCTGGGCCTTTTTTCTGCTGTTTTTTGCGGCTTGCATATTCCGTTAGGAACCTGCAGTCAACTCTAATCTTCATCTAGTGTCCTCAGACAGAAGGGGGTAGGCAGATCCATGCTCTGTAGGATTTTCAAATTTGGAGGAATTAAGGCCGAGTAGAACTCTGCCGTGCTAAGAAAAAACGCCGTATGAACCTTCAGGCGTTGCCAAATTTCCTTTGATAAAACACAAATCTCGTGGTAAACTTATGAATATTATCCTTCCCATTTATCAGATAATTTTTTCGCAATTTCACCTAAAATCCCTGAAAATTTCAAGGAAAAATATTTGTATCTTTCCTCAAAAATGAGCATTTTATCGCGGGAAATTTGGCAACTCTCGAATGTTCATACGGCGTTTGTCCTTAGCATGGCAGAATTTTGCACTGAAGAAGGTTCTGGATTGGATTCCTCCTAGCAGAAAACGTATCGGACGCCTTGCCAGATCGTGGATTGATGGAATAAGGCAGAAAATCAGGATATGCGATTTGCCGGAGGAGCTCTGGCATGGATCGCTCTCAGTGGCGGTTGAGTGTCGCAAAGCGCACAAAAGCGCTGTAAGAGCGACATGTTAGTCAGTTAGAATCCGGCTCTGCAGCGGAACTATAGCGAGTCGAGACTAGCTAGTTCCGTAGAAATTGGCCGCGACTACCGTAGTTCGAACCCAGAAACTACTGACCTGAAGTCTGACGCGCTGTTCATTTCACTAGTCTGGCCGGCGACTCGAATCTCTGTCTATTCCGAATCGAAAGATGAAGAAGAAAACGTCGAAAAAAGGAAGAAAGTGAAGAATAGAAATGAGAATTACTAAAAGACGGAAAAACAGAAATTCTTCATCTCTGTCCTTTTTTTCGTCCGTCCCATTTTTAGTCTTGATCATCGGAATCTCTTCGACGCAACATAGGACCCTGGAAAAGTTGAAATTTAAAACTGCTTCCTCAGTGAAGGTTGTAGAAAAATTAAATGGATCGCAATTTACACTCGAATTGCACTTCTGGCGTTATCTCATAATACTTCTTGATTTAATATAATATCTGACGTAGCGCAGAAGAATCTGACAGGATTTAAAAAAATGTCTTAAAATTCAAGGTCTCTCAACTGATTAGTCGACTATTAAGTAGTTTACCTACACCAAGACTGCAGATCCACCCCAACGATATTTGAATTTCTTAGAGTGAAGTTATTTATAACCTCTGATCTTGATTCCTAAGCGAGGACATTCCTCATTCTCCTCGAGATGCCCTTTCTCTGTGGAATTTTGTTTTGATGCGATTTCTTGGTCTGTTTCAGGTATGTGCAGAATTTCTGACTTAATTATTTCGCGTCCAGTGACGAAAAATTTTCAACTGAATGGTCAACATTTCGAACGTAAGTCCCTCCCTCATAGTCCCATATGACATTCCAACCTCAATAAACGAAAAACGCTGAAACATTTACCTTGAGCGTAGGCACCTTATCAGATTTCCTTTCCTTATCTGATCCAAATTCTGTCAAATTTTCTAAGTTCGGTGGCAATTATTATATAGTTGTGTGACTGGATGATCGAATTGTGCAGGGCCGAATTCACCTACTTGCCGCCCATGGGCCGCCTGTATTTTGCCGCCCCCTTCTCATTCGTTTTGAAACTCTATAAAGACCATCAAGTGAACGTGCCAGCGGGGGAGGGGTGCATAAGACGCATTTACTCGTGTTGAACACATTTTTTAGGAAAGCCCTGTCAACACTACTAGCAAAAGTTCACGAAACTTTACGCGAAAGTTAAGTTTCGTAAACCTACCTCTGTGTGGACAAGGCCTTCCATGTTTGGCACAAAGCGTGAAGTATTCAGACAGTCTTGTAGGTGCTATGCGTTTCATGCCGACCGCTGCTGAACGCTCTGTGTTGGACGCAATGCATGAAGTATTCATGCATTCTTGTAGGCGCTATCCGTTTCACGCCGACCGCACTGTGTTTGATGCAATGCGTGAATAATTCGTGCAGTCTTATAGGTGCCAATATGTGTTACATGCCGATCGCCGTTTAGTTTAGAATAACATATGTACCATTAGTTCCCCCATGAACTTTAAATGTTTTTACGGATGAGCTAGAACTTGTACATCCTAATTACAGACTTCAGTCCAATTGATCAAATTCTAAATCAAATGTTATCAAATTGTAGAGGGACAGATACCGTGTGAAACTGCGCAAGTGTAGCCCTTTTGGGATAGGCCAAGTTGGGACTGGCAGAGGGCGGACAATTCTTCTTTGCAGGCCGGTTGTGGAAGAAAGTCGCGTGAAGATTCAAATATTGCCAAATTTCGTTTAATAAAGTACTCTTTCCTCAGAAAAACGAACATTCTTCCTCGACCTTCCAAGAACCTTAAGCAAGATTTAAAGAATATTTAGGCGAAACAAACCAGCACGTTTTCCAGGAAACTCGTATTTTATCGCAAGAAATTTG